CAATCGGTGGTCTTGGAGAGAATTGTACGACGCTTATTAAACATTTTTTCAAATGTACAGATGTTTCTTCCAACACGCTTATCCCCTTTCACCTCTTAGGATTTTATATGATAATTGTATTTGATAAAAATACAGTTCTTTATTTACGGTATGATGATTATTAGACGTTCGAGAGACGTTCGATAGACGTTCGATAGACGTCCGATAGACGTCCGAGAGACGTTCTAAAGACGTCCGACAGATGTTCGAGAGACGTTCGAGATACGTCCGATAGACGTTCGAGAGACGTCCGATAGATGTTCGATAGTAATCACGGGGTCCAAGTTCGATAGTAATCGCGGGGCCCAGGTTCGACCCTACCTACATCCCGGCATGCGTTTCTTTCTCTGGATATGCGCGTGACGTCACGGTCGCCATCTTACCCGTAAACGTGACGTCTACTAGCAATAGGCGACGGTGGTCTAGGAAGTTCGAGCGCTCGATAGCAACCGCGGGACCCAGGTTCGAGTCTGGCCTACACCGTCACCATGTTTTTTCTTTTGACGTATGCGTGACGTCATCACACATACTGTAAGAACCTTCACTAGACATCCACTAGCAACAGGCAGCAATGCTCTAGGAGGTTCGAGCGTCTGATAGCAACCCGCAGGGTCCAGATTCGAGTCTAGCAACACCCGGCTCGCTTTTTCTCTCGTGACGTCATGGCCGCCATCTTACTCATAGGATCAAAAATTCTGGGGAGGAGGAGAGTATCAATAAAGAGGGAGTATCAATAAAGAGGGGGAATCAATAAAGAGGAGGTATCAATAAAGAGGGGGAATCAATAAAGAGGGGGACTCAATAAAGAGGGGTAATCAATAAAGGGGGGTATTAAATAAAAAATATTAATTAATAAATAACGCCTTTTGCATAATTATTTTAAAAAGTATGTTAGAATCCCCCTTGTTTATCTACTCTCCGATGTGTTTTCCGAAACGATCTCCCGTTATTGTGCCGTCTTTGCGAATCGAGATCGAACGGCGAGTTTGTCGTTTCTCCGGTGTGCTTTCCGGAACGATCTCCTGTTCTTGTGCCGTCCTTGCGATATAGAGATCGAACGGCGAGTTTGTCGTTACTCCGGTGTGTTTTCCGGAACGCTCTCGTAATTATGTGTTTTTTTCGCTCTACATCATATAGGGTTCCGGAGAGGCAAGGGCACGGCTGCGTAGGATCTCGCCCCATCGACCGTGAGCTACGGTCACGCGGCTCGGCCATCAGTGCCTGTCGCCCCGCGATCCAAAACCCATCGTATCCTGTAATAATATAAGAAAACCCACGGCATCTCGCTCTCCCCAGAAAAGGGTACAAAGATATTCGTCTTGATTTACGCTTCGCCTGTGGGAGATTCGACTGAATACATAAAGAAACACGCGTTTTGTTCTCATGCCGCACTTCACCGACACGTTCCTATACTTAGACGCCGCGTGAGAGATAACGCGACGTGAAGCGACGCGTTTTTATAAACGTTCTTGCGACCCGTCGTCGTGGCTCATACCGAAGGCCCGGCCTTTTAAAATCTAGCCGAATATACCGGCAACGCACATCTCGAATTCCCCGTTTCAGGGAATCGTTCGATTCTCCGTTACAATTAGTTATAGACCGAACTGCAGTTCATTTGTGTCCGCATATTTATTTTATGAACGCCTTGCACGTTTCGACGCCCGGAATTATTTAATTGTCCAGCGAATAAATTACTCGCTCGCACTGCGCTTTGCGACCACTCTTATACACAGCGACGATAGCGAAACAAAGCCGCGCGACAAAAACAACACCCAAACATTGGGACACCGCGCAATAACACGCGGTCGCTACGTAAAGACGAATAAAGATTCATTTTCTACACACACGACATTATTATTGACACACACACCTACTCCTAAAATCTTTCCTGTGCTCGAAGCGCAGCAAACGATCCGACGCGCAGAGCCGGATCGACTAGAAAACCGAACCCGGAGGCGCGACCGTTACATTTTAATGATAATGTGACGCCCGAGCTGATTTCTTATATCAGGTATGTTGGTAATTACTTTCCGGTTTTTATAACAGATGTCACTAGCCATAAGTATGCAATGGTATGATTTGATACATATGTCATTTTATTCTACTGATATTAACCTCAAAACTACACAAGTTACGTTCCGCCAAAATAACAGCGTTATAGATTTATAATTTTTTGAAAATGTCGAGTTTTGTGCCTGAAAACGTGCATTTGCGGCACGCATTACTTTTCTTGTTTAATCAAAAGAAAAAAGCCGCTGAAAGTCATCGTTTGCTGGTAGAGACTTACGGTGAGCATGCTCCAACCATAAGAACATGTGAAACGTGGTTTCGACAATTCAAATGTGGTGATTTCAACGTTCAAGACGAAAAACGTCCTGGTAGGCCGAAAACGTTTGAAGATGCGGAATTGCAGGAGTTATTGGATGAAGACCCAACACAAACTCAAAAACAATTGGCAGAAAAGTTGAATGTGAGCCGAGTAGCAATTTGTGAACGATTACAAGCGATGGGAAAGATCCAAAAGATGAGAAGATGGGTGCCACATGAATTGAATGACAGGCAATTGGAAAATCGAAAAATCGTCAGTGAAATGCTGCTTCAAAGGTATGAAAGGAAGTCATTTCTGCATCGAATAGTAACGGGTAATGAAAAATAGATTTATTTCGAAAATTCCAAGCGAAAAAAATCATGGCTATCACCTGGCGAAGGCTGCCCATCGACTGCAAGGCCAAATCGCTTTGGTCGCAAGACCATGCTCTGTGTCTGGTGGGACCAGGTTGGTGTCGTATATTATGAACTGTTGAAACCTGGAGAAACAGTTAATACTGATCGCTACCAACAACAAATGATCAATTTGAACTGTGCATTGATCGAAAAACGTCCATAATACGCTCAAAGACATGATAAGGTGATTTTGCAGCATGACAACGCGCCGTCTCATACAGCAAAACCAGTCAAAGAAGTGTTGAAATCACTTGGATGGGAAGTTTTATCGCACCCGCCGTACTCTCCAGACCTGGCTCCATCCGACTACCACCTTTTCGCATCGATGGGGCACGCGTTTGCAGAGCAGCACTTCGCCGATTTCGAAGAAGTTAAAAAGTGGCTCGATGAATGGTTTAGCTCAAAGGAAAAACAGTTCTTTTGGAATGGCATCCATAAATTGCCTGAGAGGTGGGCAAAATGTATAGAATCAAATGGCCAATACTTTGAATAAATATATTTTAACTATCCATTGTAAATAACGTGTTTCCTTTAGCGAAAAAACCGGAAAGGAATTACCGACACACCTGGTTACAGCGACGGGTCTGATTGCACCATAATCATCGCCCCGGCCGCTGAGCGCGGAGCGGTGCGAGGGGAACGGCGTGACCTACTGAATTCGTCCGAAATGTGCAGATCGTGGCCAGCTCTGCCTTAAACTATCCAAAACAAAGAATTTAATCACTGCACGATATTCAATTTTTTCGATTTTAAAAAAGATAATGACACGTCAATATGTAACAGCCGAACTCCGCGTTTCGGTCGTTCCTACGCGTTTTGCGCGGATAAAGCTCGTTGGAGTCCGGGTTCAGTGAGGAGGAAACCAGCGAGACGGTTGATAGTAACAAAATAAATAAATTAGCTTTATTCGATACTTAGTTATGTACAAGAGCTCGGTCCTGAAGGCGTTGTCGCGAGTTGCGTTTATTAGACGCGTCGGTACGGTACGGTGCGGTGCGATGTGCGGTACACTCGCGTGTACGGACGGATAGGCCGCGCGGGAGGTGGGACCTATTGCGAGACGCGTGTAGACGGCGACGACGGTAACGGCGCGGTAATCGGTCTCGCCTCGCGACGCTGGGCGTCTCGGACGATTATCGCCCAATAGTCGGCTCGCAATCGCTCGCGCATAGATGGTCGCCGGACCGGATATTTCGACCCTCGGTCGAACGCACACACGCGGGTCGCGAAAGACGCGCAAGGATTTCGTCCGTCAGGGCCGAGGATTCTCGACAGAGAAGGCGCACGAACCTTCCCTTTTCCCTACGTTCGCGGCGGAAAGCGACCAAGTGCTGCGGACACTCAGCGGAGACGACAGACGCACCGTCCCGGGACCTTGGTCGCTAGACGGATCGCCCAGAGGCTGAGTACATTCAGCGGAGCTTACCGACAGACGAACTTCTGACTCAGGGCGGCGGGTAAAGGCTAGAGACTGCCAAGTACGCTCGACTGAGCACACGCACGCACGAACCCAGGAAGACGGAAGACGTCGAAGTATCGAGCACGCTCGATCGAGACTGCAGACGCACAATCCCGTTTGCTTAGTCGCCGGTCGGGTAGTCGGAAAGCGAAAGGCAGAACGAAACGGCCCGGATATTCTCACTATCGGCATAAAGCGTCTAGATCGAATGACGATACGGATCGGTCGGTGCTCAGAAGCTCGATCGCTGCCGTTTTAGTCGTATTCTCTATGATTGATACGGCGGCGATCGAGCGGCGCGATAATCGGCACGAGGCACGGTGACGGCGCGTGATAGCGACCGCACGCGTTAGCGGCGGCGCGTGATCGCAGCGGCGCGCGATAGCGGCGGCGCGAGATAACGACGGCGCGCGATAATTGCGTTTAGGGGTGGCGCAAAGTGCCGTTCTTCGGCCCGACAGATGGTCGGTCGGGCCGGTAGTAACAAAGTGCATTCGCGCCTCGTTACATCATCCCCCTGGCAGAGAGGTCATCCGGCAGGCGGCGGCTAGACCGGAGCTGCCCGTCCGCGTGGAATCGTAGCATCTACCTTCCTTCGGGCGTCCGAAGGTGATATTGGCGACTGATGTGCATCGATCGACGAGAGCGGCACGAGTTTCTGGACGCCAGGCTCTACTTCGACGAGGACCGGCGGCGGGGGTCTCGGGCCGACCGGTCGGAGAACTTTCGGCGGTCGGACGGGGATCGGACCCGAGAGTGGTCGCTTCGTCGTGGGGGGTTACTTCCCTGTGGCTCGTGATAGTGACGTCAGCGGCGGCGTCTGCTGCGGCGGTGGTGGCAGTCGATGCGGCGATGGTGGCGGTCGTCGCGGCGGTGGCCGTTGCTGCGGCGTCTGCTGCGGCGGCCGTTGCGGCGGCGGATTCGTTGGTAGCCGCGTGGGGCGGGTGGTAGCCATTGTAGTGGCTGCCAGCGCCTTCGGCTGACGTCCTCGGCGCCCAGGTAGTAGGAGCAACAGAGCCGTAAGCATGACTGCTTTTCGGCGCTGCATCGTGTCGGACCGCTGAATTCGTGTCCCCCTTACGGGGACTTGGGGATTTGGCGGCTTTGGCGACGGTGGCGGTGTGCTCGCTGGTGGTGGTGGCGACAACGGCGGCGGAGCGGCCGGGGCCCTCTCCTCGTCGTCGAAGAAGGCCAGATCCGTCCACAGGACGGCTAGATCCTCGATCTCCATCGCTCGGGAGTCGCTTATCGCTAGCTTATGCTTTCTGAAACTTGCCAAAAACTTCCCTTGCTGCCGCTTGCGACAGCTTGAGAAAGTGTGTCTCTCTTAGCTCGAGGCCGCCGTTTTATACCCCGGGCCGTTGTTTCGTTTTCCCCTTCCGGGTCGTCGACCTCTGCGTCCTGTGGCTTTTCGTTATTGTTATTATTCGACTTTAAATCTTGAATATGAATATGTCGTAGCAACTTGCCATTTTTGGCGCGAAGATCGACGATTACCGGCGAGATTATCCGTCGAACTTCGTACGGACCGGAGTATTTGGGCGCGAGCTTGGCGTTAAAGCCTTGCACTTTGTCTGATAGGGATGCTCGCGTTGCCATACGGTCTCCCCTATCGCAGGCCGCCAAGAGCGTCGTCGCAAATCATAATGGCGCTTCTGACGTTGGAAAGCTCGCGCCAAATTTATACGGACGACATCGTATGCGTCTTCGAGCTGTCGGCGGCGGCTTTCCGATGGAGCAGCGGTGCGGGTCTCCGGCCAGGGACCCAACTCCCGCCCGTTGAGTAGAAAGGCCGGGCTGTATCCTATTGAGTCCTGCACGGCAGAGTTGTACGCGAATTGTAGCGCGGTTATTTGAGTATCCCACTTGCGGTGGTTCTTCCCTACAAATTGTGCGATCATCGTTTTGACTACGCGATTTGTCCGCTCCACCGGATTACAATGCGGCGCGTAGACAGATGTGGTGCGGTGACGGATGCCGAAGGCCCCGCAAAACTTCGCGAATTGCGCGGAGCGGAAATTTCGCGGGATTGTTTCCCGTTATCGAAAACTATTATTTGGGGGCAGCCGTGTCGGTGGATAATGCCCTCGGTGATCGCCCGCTCCATTGCCCCCGCCGTCGCCCTTCGGAGTGGTTGCATTTCTAGCTACTTGGAGAAGCGATCCTGCATAGTGATAACCCACGCGTGGCCGCCGATCAACCGCGGCAGAGGGCCCATTAGATCTACGGTGGCCTGTTCCCACGGGTCCTTTACCGCGGTGGCGTGCAGAAGCCCGCGGGTTTAACCTGTGTCGCCTTGTAGGCGAGGCATGTCTCGCAGGCCCGGACATGTCCGGCCACGTCCCGGAACATGCCGGGCCAATAATACCGGCGGGCCGCGCGGGCGATCGTCTTCGCTATCCCCAAGTGGCCGGCGGTAGGTTCGTCGTGGAGCTGGCGAAGAACTTCAGCACGTTGTTCCCGGGGTACGCACACCTTCCACTGCTCCTCCGCTGGTACTTCGCGGAAATCCAGCTCGTGCAAGACATGGCAGAGGTGCTGGCCATGCTGGATGGAGTAATCTGGTCAGGCGGCGGGGTCCGCGGTTACTCGTGCTTTCATGCAACGGTACCAGGGGCACTTGTTTCCCATGATTATGGCGCTCACTTCGGGTCGTCACGATAACACGTCGGCGACTGTATTAAAAGCGCCTCGCCGGTATTGCACCTCGAATTCGTATTGCTGCAATTCGAGGGCCCAGCGGGCTAGGCGCCCGATGGGGGCTTCCAAGCTGCGCAGCCACCGGAGGGCCTGGTAATCCGTGACCACCATGAAGCGATAGCCCTCTAGGTAGTCGCGCATTCGCCTTATCCCCCAGATTACGACGAGGCACTCCAACTCGATCGCGCTGTAATTTTTCTCGGCACGATTTAGTGTTCGGCTCGCGTATACAATTACGCGTTCTGATCCGTCCAACCGCTGCGTGAGGACGGCTCCCAGCCCCTCCGTGCTCGCGTCCGTCTGCAGCTGGAAGGGTTCCCGGAAATCCGGGCACGCGAGCACCGGCGCCATGGTCAGCCGTTCCTTCAGTGCGGCCATCGCGGCGTACTCGTCCGCGCCCCACTTCCACCTCGCGTCCTTCCGCGTGAGCCTGGTGAGTGGGGCGGCTAGCGCAGAGAAGCCCGGGATGAATCGTCGGTACCACGATGCGAGCCCGAGGAATTGTCGCATCTTCCGTACGGTCGTGGGCGCCGGCCATTCCGAGATTGCGCCCACTTTTTCCAGGTCGGTACAAATGCCATCTCGGTCCACGATATGCCCCAGGTACCGCAGGCGGCTCACGTAGAAGCGGCACTTCTCCGCGTTGAGTCGTAGTCGTGCTTCCCGGAGCCATCGGAAAACCTCCTCGAGCCGCGCAATGTGTTCCTCGAACATCCGACTTACGATGATAATATCGTCTAGATAGGCGAGTACATGGGACTTGAGCTCAGGGCCGAGTACGCCATCCAGCAGTCGTTGGAAGATAGCAGGCGCGGAGTGCAGACCGAAGGTTCATTATCCGGAACTGCATTAGTCCAGGCACGGCAAACGCAGTCAAGGGGCGGCTTTTCTTTTTTTGTTAACGCAGAGGAAACCCAGCATAAGTACTCTCCGCCTCCTGGGAGGGGCGGAGGGTTATGTGAGACTCCTACTCACTAAAACCTCTGCGGGATGTCTACCAGTCGAACCGAGATGGGGGGAGTCAGGGGAAATGCGCCAGCATTCCCTCCCCGACACCCCGGCCCCACGGCTCATGTTGTTGAGCCCCACGCCCACGTGCCGCGCCCCTTCTCCCTAAGGACAAGGTCCAGGCGCGGCGCCCCGATCGGCTATGCCGATCGAGTTGGCCTTACGGTTTCATTTACGGGAGAGAGGGGACATGCCTACCCTCCCTTCCCGCCCCCCTCCCGTTCGAAATATTCTACTCCGGGGGGCGGGGGAGCGTGGCCCTTCCCAGAGGACCCCGCTCCACCTTTCCTTCCCCTACCGACGCGCGAGGGAGCGCAGGCGGGGATTCTCACCCCCCCTCCTGGCATCCCTCCCCTGCGCATCCGAAGTCGGCCCCGAGGCGGCCGAGGGGGCGGTCTCCGGCGGACCGGTCGCCGTTCCCTCTCGGCCGGCGCCACCTCGGGGCCGCTACCATCTCCCGGGGAGCGCCGCCTTCTACCCCGCCGCACCCTGCGGTCGGGGTTGGACCGACGCTCCCACTCGGCGGCCTCCTTCTGGGACATGACAACCCTGCAGAAGGAGGCCGCCGCCCCCATGCCTCCTCGCTCCCGCACATGGCACAGACCATGCGCGGGAGCGAGAGATCCTCCACACGGCACCCGACCGCCCGAGCCAGGACTCAGCGCTCTTGGCTCCACGCCTCGCATTCTGCGAGGGTGTGCCGCGCCGAATCTTTCGGCTCCGGGCAGTGGTGGCACTCGGTGGTGAGTTCTTTCCCTATTCGGTGCAGGTACCCTCCGAATCATCCATGCCCCGTTAGTACCTGCACCAAGTGGAAAGAGAGTCCACGCCCGGACAGCCTCGGCTGTCTAGCGACCGAATCCTCGCGGATCGGCCAATTCGGCCGACCACTTGTCGAGGATCCGGTCACCGGCCTGGGTCTTCAGGGCCCTTAGGTCCCTGGCCGATAGCCCCTCCTCCCTTTCGCGGAGCTCACGTATGCGCCAGTAAAGGAGATACCTCTTTTCGGTGAGGAGCTCCACTGGGGGGAGCCGGCCAAGGCGGCCGCCGCCGTGTACGAGACTGTCGCGTACCCCCGGATCGCCCTCACCAGCACTGGCCGCGTAGCCTGCCGCAGCAGGTCCCTGTTGCGGCGGGTGGCTAAGAGTCGGGGCGCCCATATAGGCGCCCCGTACAGGGCGACCGAGAGCACAACGCTCACGTACAGGCGGCGTGCCCGCCATCCAGGGCCCCCCTGGGTCCGCATCAAGCCGGCTAAGGCCGTGTCTATCTTGCGGACCCGGGGGGCCAGGCACCTGAAATGTGGCCCGAATTCTCACTGGCTGTCCAGCGTCAAGCCCAGATATTTCATCGTGGACTTGACGCGGACGCAGACACCGTCCACCAGGACCCGGGCCCTTCGCGGCCTCCCCTGACCCTGTCCATGAAATAACATGGCCTGTCTTCTGTGGGGCCACTTTGAGCCCGAGGTTACTAATGGTTCCCACCACCGAGTGTAGAGCTGCTTCCACTCGGAGGCGAGCTCCCAATCCTCCCCTTCGGCCAACACGAACGTGTCGTCTGCGTAGCAGACCACGTGGCAGCTTTGGAGAAGACGAGATCGCAGCACCCGGTTCCATAGTAAAGGGCCCAGGACGGACCCCTGCGGAGCACCGCGTTCCATTTGCTGCCGGACTTGGACCCCGCCTCTCCACGAGTAGGCGAGATCCCTGTCCCTGAAGTACGCCGCCAGGAATCGCCGAAGATAGACGGGAACGCCATGGTATTCCAGGGCCCGTCCTATCTCCGGCCAGGGCAGGGTGTTAAACGCGTTTGTGATATCTAGCGATACCGCGAGTAACACTCCACCCTCCTCCTCCACGGTGGTACGGGTCAGGTCCCGGACATGCTGGAGTGCGTCCAGCGTAGATCGTCCGGGTCTGAACCCGTACTGATTGCCGTGGAGGTCTGGTCTCTCCAGGGACAGATGCTGGACGAGGCGGTCTGCGATGATACGTTCCAGCATCTTACCCGTCTCGTCCAGCAGGCATATCGGCCTGTAGGCCGGTGGCCCACCGGGCACCTTACTCTACTTCGGGAGGAGGACCAACTTGGCCCTCCTCCACTCCTGGGGAAGACGTCCTCCCTTAGGCACCCTTCCATTGCCTTCCGCGTGGCCGTGGATAGGCTTCCATCGCCGAGGGCGAGAGCCCAAGCGCGACCAGGAATTCCGTCGAAGCCGGGGGCTTTGTCCTTGGTCCCGAGCCTCTTCCTGGTCGCGGCGAACTCCTCTGGCGAGATCCTCAGATCCTCGTTCCAGTCCCCGTCCTGAACTCAGGAACGGGGATCCTGGAAGGGGGGCCCCTCAGCCCTCGGGAAAAGGGTGTCGAGGAGCCCCCTGAGGTCCTGAGGATCTATGGACTCCGTCGACGGGGGCGCCCACGGACGTATCTTTCCGACAGTCCGTTTGTACGGGCGCCCCCACGGGTCCTCGTCCAGAGAGCTCATCAGGCGCTCCCAGGCTCCCTCCTTTGCCTCGGCGAT